CCTCCTATACCTCCTATACCTCCTATACCTCCTATACCTCCTATACCCCCTATACCTCCTATACCTCTATACCTCCTATACCTATATATCTATGTACCTCTTACCCTAGGACATAATCGAGTTTCCGGGGATACTCTCCGAAGACATGTAATCAATATTTTGCTAGATTTTTTTTTTTATTGACTTTTCGATATTTATGAAAATATGAATTATAATGAAATAAATATTAAAGAAGAAGAAGAAGAAGAAGAAGAAGAAGAAGAAAAAGAAGATATTGATACTTTTTTATCTAATTTTTGGTTAAAGCTTAACAATGCTAAATCGAATGTAAGAAAATTTAAAAAAAATTTTTTTTTTGTTTAGTTTTTTATTCATTTAGAAAGATGATTTAGATGAGATATTAATGCAATTACAAGATATTCAAAATCAAATTATTGTTTATTTTAAAGAAGCAGCATCTGAGTGCAACGTTGAAGAGTTGAAAATTTATGAAAATAAATTATTAAAAATAAAATGGTATGCAGATATAACAACTATGTATATGATAAATAATTTATCATCCCATCAACGTAATCATTTAAATTTTCATCACAGTAAAAAAAAAATATTCAGGTAAATAATAAAATAAAATTTGATATTTTATTTAAGATACTACTTTTTTTTTTAATAGACACGTATATTATTTTCGGTAAATGCTTGTTATTAGGGGTACGCAAGCTCAGCTCACGAACTCCGCTCAAATGAGCGAAAGAACTGTTCGAACAGCTCATTTCACATGAGCTGAGCTGTTCGAACAGCTCATTTCACATGAGCTGAGCTGTTCGAACAGCTCATGTGAAATGAGCTGAACTGTTTGGAAAAGCTCGGTTCGCTCAAATGAGCTGTTCGAACAGTTCAGCTCAGCTCAGTGAGCGGTTTCAACAGCTCATTATTTGTGAGCTTGAGCTGAGCTTGCATACCCCTACTTGTTATTGTAATGATAGTTTAGAACAACTTATTTATTCAAAATCAATACAAGAATTTGATAATAATACATTTGTACAAGTATTTAATGAGAAACAAAGTATTGAAAAAAAAAAGTTTTTTATTCTTTACTTTTTTTTCTTTTACATAGAGAATACAACAATAACACGTATTGAAATTACTGATCCAATACCAAATAGGGGTGGGAAGTTACCGTTACGTTACCAAGTAACTAGTAACTCGCAAGTTACTAGTTACCGAGTAACTAGTAACGTCGGAGTTACCAGTTACCAGGTAACTAGTAACTTCGGAGTTACTAGTTACTTTTGGTAGGTAACTTGTCTAAAAAGTGGAGATATCACTTCCTAATGAGTGAATACCATCATTACAGTACTTATTCAGCTCACGAGTTACCGAGTAACTAGTAACGCACATAGGAGTTACTAGTTACCAAGTAACTCGTAATTTAATTGAGTGATGAATAGATGATATTCAGTCATTAGGAAGCGATATCTCGACTTTTTAGACAAGTTACCTACCAAAAGTAACTAGTAACTTCGAAGTTACTAGTTACCTGGTAACTGGTAACTCCGGCGTTACTAGTTACCCGGTAACGTAACTCCCGGGTAACGGTAACTTCCCACCCCTAATACCAAATCCTTGGTTACGTGGTCAAGTAGCTGCACATCCTGTTCAAAGACAACAACAACAACAACAACATGATGATGATAATAATATTAATAATCAACAATAAATAAAATAAAAGAAATTTTTTTTTTGTCTTTTTTTGTCATTCTTTTTTTTTCTTTTTTTTCATATTCGATTTTGTTGTTCGTCTATTTTTTTTTGTATTTTATACTGTGATGCATTTAATATATATCAATAAAAGAAAATAAAGAAACGTCATATATTTTTATTTTGCTTATCATATATGAGTAAAAGTATTATTCAATAATGGATAATCATTAGTTTAAAGAAATTATATATAAAAAATGTTTTAAACAAAGAAAAATATATATGCAAATATTGAAATATAAAATTTTAGATCAAGAAAGTAATTTTACTAGTATAGTTTGTTTTCTTTTGAGATACGAATTTTTACCACTTGTAAATAAAACTGAACATTTATATATACAAATGATTATTAAAAATAAAATGCTCATCTATCAGTACATCTAACAAAATTGGAGCAACCGATTCACAACTATGTTCTTGAAATGATTCACCTACATACTATCGTGTAGAAGTGAAATTGACTGGATTTTGAATTGGATATATTTGAGGTTAAATTGTTCTATACTCAAAGCTGAACTGACTGAAATTGACTGGAGTTGATCGAATTTGGTCTTATGTAGGGTAAAGTACTTTTAAAATTGAGTACATTTGTAATATTTTTGATCATGGTAGTTCAATTTGAGAACAAAATATGTGACATACCCAGAATTAACACAAAAAACTACCTCAGGATAAATACTTTTCAGCAGAAAAAAGAACGTTTTCAGGAAAAAATGTCCCAGTCTCCCCTCAAACTATTCCCTTCAATAGTGTGAGGGAAATATTGAAGATTTTTTGGTAAAAAAGCTTTTTTTTTTGCTAAAAGGTATTTTTCAGAGGTAGTTTTTGTGTACTCAAAAAGTGAGTACACGCTAGAATCGGTCGGTGTGTCCGGCCGGCCGTCCGTTTACACGATAACTTTTGAAAGGAGAGTCAGATCGCGATGAAATTTTCTACACAGTTCAGTCTTAACAATATCTCGGTTGAGTTCGAAGATGAGAAGGATTGGCCGAGCCCTTCCTGAGTTATTGCAAAAATACTCATTTTTCCCTGCACCTTCCCTATGGAAAGATCGACCCATTCCCGCTTTCGTAAACAACTTTTCCTATCATAGTCAACTAAAACCCCAACTATTATATACCATTTGATAGAGAATTTCAAGAGCTACGAAATGGTATATAAAACATAAAGAAACAAGAAGGTTGACTCACCTATCACAAAGGTAATTAAAGAGAACTAGGTTATGTTTTTGTCCACGATCTAATTGATCCACAAATAGAGCTCTATCTTCCGATCACAGTGATGATACTTCGAGGTTTTCTGAGATGGAGAACTCGAATCTGTATTCCACTTCCATCGAAATACTATTGGTTGAGCAGTGACCAATAGAAATCAAGTTATAGGAAAAAGGACTTTCTTAGGATAAATCAAGGGGAAGAGTTCAAATTTAAGCTGTATTCGGTCCCAAGTCCTATTGGTTTGGCAATACTCAATAGAAATCCACAGTTTAGAGGGTAGGTTCCCCAGTATAATTTTGATGCCCACACGTTCTAGAACGACTCATCTGTCTCATTCACTTTTTGAAGTACACATAACTCTCGGATTTAAATCCAAAGTTTCCACATTTATTTTGGGCTTTATTTTGGTATCTATCGACATCTGCAATAAGAATACGTTAAGATCTTGAAAGCTTGTAATGTTATTGCGTAAAACCAAATAAATATGTTGCAATAAATGATTTTTTGTGAACTTCTTTTGAAATTCATTTTTGCTCTTAAATATTTAAAATAAGATCTTATTTTTAAGAATGAATTCAAATAAAAACATAGTGGATATACCATTATTGTTTCTGTTCTTAATTGGATAAAACATGTTATTGATCAAGAAAGAAAATTATACATTCAAAATTATATGAAAAGCACAAATCGATTATAGAATCTAGATAATACCGAATATTCTTCGTATTCACGAAGTTATTGAAATGATCAAAGATATCCTGAAGTTACCAGGAACAGGGAGTGAGCAATGACTCTAAAAGTCTATGGGAAAATTTTCCGCTAAAGCTGAACGAATTTGAAGAGTTTGAACGGTTTTTTTTGAGTATTGATAAGCACAAAAAAAAACAATAAAAACAAAACGAAAATTTTTCAAGAGTAGATAGTTACTTCCTCGACCCTTCTTGATTGCGAAATTCGATACGTGAATTATATCGACCAATCATTTATTGTTCCGCGAAAATAGGAAAAAAGATCTATTGGCCTCCACATTTATATATCACTACAATCTTTTTGTCTTAAAAAACAAAAGTAAAAGTACGAATTCAAAACATCAAATAAAGAAAAAATGACAAACGTTCAACATCATTCTAAAATAAATGATATTGATTTACAACAATATATCAATAATCCTCTTCCGATTCCACTTATGTCTATTAGTGTTCCTCCAACTGAAGATCCTCATATAGAATCTTCATCATATCAACCAATATATTCATCTTCAATACCACTTATTTCAATATCCGATGATAATATTTTGTCAACATCAACATTAATAAATCGAATTGATATTTCAAAATTTCATTTTGCTCATGTAATTAAAGTTCCACATGGTACAAATCTTCTTGCATCTGATAATCAATTAACAACAGTATGTATTAATTCAATTGGAAATATAATTCATCTTATTACACTTACGGGTTATTATATTCGATCATCAAGATGGCCTGAAACAGAAAATAAGATAATTGATATACTTTGGTAATGAGTAAATATTAAAGAATTGTTTTCTTTTTTTTTTTAATCTTTATTAATATATTTAATTAGGTGTGAAATATTACAAGTTTATCTTGTTGCAACATCGAAAAGTCTTTATAGGCTTAAATATGATTCAAATCAGACGCTTTTAATTGAAAAATTATTTGATTATCCTCATTATTATTTATCAGAAAAGATTTTCGTGGCTTGTAATTCTTATCGTCTTTATATACATGATCCATCAACAAAATTAATTGATGTTTATACTCTTCAATTTGTTCATTTACATACAAAACAATTACCTGATTCTATTATTATTAATCAAATTGAAGAATTTTTTTGTTCTGATTCATTTCTTATTTTACATTACAAACAAACTCCTAATAAAATTATTATATTAGATCCAGTAACAATGATAATTAAATATGAATTTGACTTATCATATATGACAATATCATCTATACGATGTTTTGATAATGAAAATACATTAATATTTACTGGTATTAGACAAGATGGAGAAAATCGTTTGGTTTTTTTGAATTTTGAATATATAAATAAAGAAACTAAAATACAAGATATAATTGCTGAAAAAGCTATTGAACATGATGAACAATTTGTTTATCTATTACCGAATTGTCGAGATTTAATGATACTTAATGTAAATGCTGCTCGTGTACAATATTTGAAATATCATTCTTAATTTAAATTGTTCTTTGTTTATTCTATACGTTATTTTTTTTGTTCTCATTTGCATTGAATGTTATGATTATCGAAAAATGTTATTGTTTTTTTTTTTTTTTTGAAAGAAACTATTTTAATCAAGAATATGAAAAATTTTGTTGAATGTTTGTAAAAAAATTATAAATATATGTTAACTTAGCGAAAAAAAAAGATTTTGAAGTGTTTATCTTATTTTAGATATCTATTAATTAATTTTAGTAAATTAATAATGGATAATCAGTAAATATTTTCTTTTGTAAATTTGACAAGGTTTTATTTCTATTTTTTGTTTGAATTTGATATAGACTATCTGATATGATTCAATCATTATCACTTTCATCGAATGAATGTCGAATATATGCACGAAAACAACTTGATTCATGGTTAGATTCATCATTAACTTTACTTCGAAATACTTATAATGAAAAATTAAATGAAATTGATCAATTATTTCATACACTTAATGAAGATTTAGAAATTTATAAACAACGACAACTAATAACAATAACACGACAAAAAAATAATTTATTAAATCAAGAAATTAAACAATTACAAGAACAATTACCAATACTTATTCAAGTTTATATTTGATTATTTTTTTGTTTTAAGAAAAATTCGTTATGAACTATTTATATTTAGGTTAAAAATACTCCAGGTTCAATTTATGATCTTGAAATATGTCGTTCAACTAATATTATTGATAGACCTACAATTTGTTCAATACTTCGTCATTCTTTATTACAAACAGAACCTGTACAATCATATCGTTTTTCATCAACTTGTCGTGCTATGGGATGTAACTCAAAACGAGATGAAATTCTTTTATATGAAAAAGACGAACTTATTTTATATAATGTTAATGGTACTTTAGTGAGTAATTATTTTTCTTTTCTTTTTTTTTTTTTTGATAATTGTATGAATTTAGGGTGGAAGTGTTTCATGGTCTACAATGGAAGATGGTTTTGTATCAGATATAACTTGGTGTTCCATACTTGATTGTTTTCTTGTTTTGGGACGTATGATTCTTTCATTATTTGATACACATTTATATACATGTACTAATATTCAACAAGTTCGTGGTAGTCAATCACATTATCTTATTGCTTTAACATATGTTGAACAAGATAAAAGTGTTTTTATTTGTTCTCATCATCCAATAGAAACTATTCGACAATATGGTCCATTACCTGAATGGAATTTAAAAAATACTTGGTCAAAAGATAATTTAATTAATCAAGATGATATTGGTAAAATATACTTGATTATATTTTAATGTTTTGTATATAATAGAGCTGGGAAAATCTGACTTCACTTGACTTGACCAGTCCTCGAGTAAAAGTTCTTTGTGTTCCAGCAGCTGTAGGGTGTATTTTTTCATGGAATGATTTTTTTTTAAAATTCATTACCATAAAGTGGGCCGCAAAAGTTTAAGAGACGTTTTATTTTTGAAGTTTTTCATAGAAGACGAGTAGCTAGGTCAAATCCAAATAGCGATTTGGGTAGCTCTTGAAATTACCTATCAAATACAATATCTGTCAAATTTCTAAAAGAAACTTTATGAAGAGAGTTTTCCAGAAAATCGTACCAGAAGGATTTCAAGTCCTAGAGGATTTTGACAAAAAGATTTTTCAATATAAGCTTCTGAAAGAGCAGAAAATTCCGAACAAAATCAAGGGTCGCCCAGCTCTCTACGATATTCTGTCACGAAGTTATAAGCATTATAAAAAACGAAAAAATGCAGTTTTAATCGAATTTTAAGGCTTTTTTTTAATAAAAATCGACGAAAAACGCTTTTTTTTTTCGTTTTTTTCTAATGCTTATAACTTTGTGACGGAATATGGTACAGAGATGGGCGACCATTCATTTTATTGAGAGTTTTCTGCTCTTTCAGATGCTTATATTGAAAAATCTTTCTGCCAAAATTCTCTATAACTTGAAATCCCTTTAGTGCGGTTTTCTGAAAAACTTTCTTTACGAAGTTTCTTTTGAAAATTTGACACATATTGTATTCGATAGGTAATTTCAAGAGTTATCCAAATCACTATTTAAATCTGACCTAGCTACTCATCTTCGATGAAAACTTCAAAAATAAAGGTCTCTTAAACTTTTGCGGTCCACTTTAGAGTTTCAATGTCGAAAACAAGTTTACAGATGTTAACTATGTTGAAGTGTAATAGTCAGCTTCAATACATAATTTTTTATCATCAAGTATTATTTTGTGACGTAATATGAGTAAATAGTATTCAAGGTAGATGTCCTATAGAAAGAAAAATAATTCAATAGAAATTACATCTGTGAGTCGAGAGGGTTTGATTTAACTTGTCTAGTTTTTATTATTATTTAAGGTATTCGATGTATTCGTGTTAATCAATCTGGTACACAGCTTGGTCTTGTTATTAAAAATAAAAAAGATCAATTTCGTATAGGTCTTTATTCAATGGATTTAACACATATATTTTCTACAATTCCAATTATTCCTTCATCATCATTATTAAAAGGAATTCGAAGTATTGATTTTATGCTTTATTTAACACCATTTATTGATGATCATTTATGGTTAATTGTTTATGGAAATGGAATACATGAACATTCTCTTTTACTAGTCAATGATCAAACAGGAAAATCTGAAACAATTATTGATGATTCTATACTTAATGTTTGCATGTTAGATGAACAATATTTATTAGTTCGAATGAAACAATCAATGTTGATTTATGATATTCAATAATGTAACATTATTGATTTGTTTTAGCATTTCGTTTTTTTTTTTTGATTGGATGAAAAAACAAAAAACATTTGAAAGAACAGATAAATAAAAAAAAAAAAAAGAAACTTTTCGAACGATGATACAAAACAAAAAGAAAAAGTTTGAGATAATTGATTGAACATGCTCAAGTTAGAAATGAATCTAATTGTTATTAAGTTTTCTAGATAACATTCTCGTATGTTTCATTGTTTTTCTTTCTGGGCTTTGCTTATAAAGTCAAATATTGAAGTGTTCAATCGAGAAAAGAATACCATCACATTTTTTTGAATTAGATAAAAAAGCATATACAATCAAATATTAAAATGGAACATTGATTATTTATTTTATTTAATTAAATTTAATATTCTATTTATAACAAGTATTATTTTTTATTTATAAACATCCATTTTATTCTTATAATTCTAACTCAAAAATTGTAATTAAACTGTTTTAATGGTATTTGTATTACTAATATTTTATACTTTGTTAGATATATATGGTCCAGCTCCTATTTCATAGATACACATTACTGGACAATGATCCGACACTGAACATCCTTCTGTACAAAGTAAATTTCTAAGTACATTTGCTAAAATTGGACGTGCATAATTGTTTTGCATGATCCAATCTAATGCGCAATCACCAAGGTTATCTTCATGAGGTATACTAGGACGTTGTGGATGAGTAGGAAGACAAGGTAATCTTAATGTACTAAAACAATCAATAAAACCAGCTTCACGTAAAATACGTCGTGGATGAAAATTTTCATTTAAATCTCCCATAAATAATATAGCTAAATGAGGATCATTAAATTTTGCTTGTAAATCATTTAAAACTGTTGCAGCACGTTGTGCTTGTTGTTTTCGTAAATTAACGTTTGTTATAAGTTCTTGTGCATGACCTTCCCATGTAAAATGTGCAGTTGCTACAAGAATCTGTCGAGTATTGATATTATCCGATAGGTTTTTTCCTTCGATTATTTGTTCAGGTATTTTTATTTTTAAAAGTACCCAAAAGAGACGTCTCAACGGTTCCATCATACCAATATCACTAATACCATATTCTATTATATTGAATAAATTTGAATTCCAATAGATATTACTTTCATTTTGCCAACCAGCAAATTCATCTTTAACATACGCATGAGATGGTAAGGCTTCAACAATAACATCATGAAATAATGGATGTAATTCTTGTACACAAAGTATGTCTGGTGTAAACGTAGTTAAACATTCAAGTATTGGTAGACGACGATTTGGCCAATTGCCAGGATAGTTACTAACCCTCCACATGTTGAAGGTCATTACCGATATGCGATGCACATTCATGGTCATATCTTCTAAGAAAAAACAAAGAAAAATATAAATATTAGGTTCATGGATGAAAAATAAAATAAATAAAAGAGAATCAATATTCTACTGTTGTAATAGAAACTATTTATCTAGTGTATAACTGTGTTCATGTGAATCGATGTTGTGGGAAGAAAAAATATGGTTACAGAGTAAAATAAGAGAGAAAAAGAAAATGTAGGTCGATAAATACCAGCGAAGCCTTTTCGTTCTGTCAGAATGTTAACATGTATTGAAAAGGGCCAAAGAAAAAAAATATTACAGCTGTATGTCGTTTACAATTTATTCCCATAATAAAACTGGACTTTTGCGTTCTGATTAATAGCAAGATATTCAACATGATAAAACTAAATTTATTCGATATTCATCCTTCAATGAAGTCAAACATGAAAAATAAAGTTATCTTAAATGAAACTTGCATGAGAAATAAAACTTTATATATGTGATTTAGTGACTTTTATCAATGATTGTTATTTGTTTAAAATAGAAAATGCAGATCACTTTTTATTTTCAGCAATGCACAAGCATACAGAGAAATTTTAACTTAGTTATCATGCAAGTGAATGAACTTAATCTGAAAGTTGATATATATACACGTATGTGGCAATGTTTGGTATACCTATTTGATCCTCAAAATTATACTAATTACATGGAGTTCCGTTATCTAGAACTCAATGAATATGAATATGTTTTGTTCCAGGCAAAGAATGTAGTAAAATCAATGCTGTCAAACATATGTTGAAGAAAGCCTTGGAATGTTACTGTTATTATATAAGTAATTAAAAACAAGTTCAATGAAGTGATAATTTATTATAAGAATAATGAACTTTATAAAATGCTCGTTTTCATTGAGAGTCAATAAATTCAAAACCAAATAATTTACGATCTTTTCATCCAGTCGAAAGGTTGAATTGCTTTAAAGAAATCGCATTTCCTAAAAAATAAGTGTGTCCACAGAGATAAAGTTTTTTGAAATGGGAGCATAAACTATGATAACTATGACGTTTTGTATAATAAAATTACTGTTGCATTCTGTTTTTTTGGCGCGCATTGGAATTTGACAAACTTACAGAATCTGACGAAAATTGACACTGAAACATTGTCTACTCTGATCAAGTATGGCTCAATATCTGTAGAAATACTCTCTGGCATGAAACATTCTTGTCTATCAGTATCAATACTAGTAATATTTCAAAAGCATGTGACTCTATCATTATTTCTAGAAACGGCAATCATCATCTGGTGTAATGTTCACTAGGTTACACCAACTTTTGAAGTCATTTAATTTTTGCAAAGAATAGATTCTAATAGTTTGGGAATACTATGAGACAAAATGGAGTATCAAAGCAAGTTAGAATTAGGAGAAATAAAATCATTATTAGATATTTTTTAGTTTTTAACTCAGAATAAAAGAAGGCTAAACAAAAAACAATCCAATACATAACATTAATTTTTTTTCTGAAAAGAAATCCAAAAGATTCTGAATAAGAATTTTTTTTCATTTTGAATTTAGATTTCTATTCAGACAAAATCAATAACAATCTTTGATAAAAATGATTCGGTCCGAATGTCTCCTATAACTCTTCGTACAGTGTAACGTAGATATAAATGTTGATCGCTTTTATTTTCTAGTTTATATAGAATTTATTTTCACATGAACATATAGATCACGAAAATGTCTTGATCACAGTTATTTTCTAGAAGTGCTTAATTGTTGTTGAACTTGAATTTTTGACAAAGTGATATCAATGTGAAACAATTGATTGTTAGTTTCGTTAGGGTATTCCATTTCTTTAGTCATACGTTGGATATAAGAGGAAATTTCGTCTAATGGTAATTCATTTAATGTTACACCTTTGTTCCGTATTTGTTCCTTTTGTTGTGCGACTATTTGGTCGATCTGAGCAAACGCTTGATCTCGTTGAGTGTCTACTTGTTTTCGAATCCTAGTACATTCAGTATCCACGCGTTCCTTAGCCGAAGTTAACAAACGATCAACTATGTTCATTTTATCATTTAGAACATGTTGAGCCACATCTATTTGTTGAATAACAAGAGCAACGTATTTTTGGCCACAATCAATACAAACATGCTTTGAACAATGAAGACATTGCATATGAGGCGGCTTTTTACAATCTGTACATTTGCGAAGAGGTTTTTGAAAAGCAACAGACTGGTCATTCGGCATCGGTTCCTAATATGTGGCAAATAATGTGAACAAAAAACCATATCAAAGATTAAAATCAAGATCATTTGGATTTTCAATCTTTATGAAAATTACTCATGCCACACATTTTCGACACATAGACATTGTTAATGGAATACTCATCTGAGTTCACACTTTCCTTTGGATTAGAGTTTGATGTTAATCGGGTAGTTTTATTTTCAATATCAACAGTATTTTGATTGTTACGGTAGCGTGATGGTTGCTGTACATAAGATCGTTTGAATCCGTCATCTAGATCAACAGAATAGCATCAAGTAATTATAGATAAGCAGAGAAATTCATTGATGGCAAGATTATATAATATTGATTAGAGACTATCGAGTCGTAACAATTCTACATACAGAAATAAAAAAGAAAGCATCTAATCTTATGACCACAGGATGATTTATTCATACATATGAATAAACTTTAAAGTTTTTCACATTTTCTGTCTATATAGTCAATATATCCATATTTTGAATCATAAACCATTTCTATGAGATTAGTATAAGTCATTAACTAAAACTGAACTTCGATATTTTGTCCATTTTAAAATAGGAGTGACTATTGTTATCATAGCTTCTCATCGAAAAAATACAGAAATCTGTAATTATCATTGTTGAAAAGATGTAATAAAAAAGTGCATCGAATAATAGAATTTCCGTTTTTCCGCAAAATTTTCTCAATCTTCTGTAATTTTTTTTAGAAATTGAAGTTTTCAAATTGATCCATTATGTACAATTTTTCATCGGAACAAGAGCAAAAAAGTAAATTTTCCCGAAAGTCTGAGAAATCACAATAAAATGCTTACAATTTCGGATTAGCTAAAATGAAGAATATAAGTTTATGTCATTTTCTACGATTCTAAATAACGTTTCTAGTAGATTTCTGTAAATTAAAAAATGTAATTCACCCACCCGACACAACATTTTATTTTGAAAAAATTTGGCGGAAGACCCTGAGACAAATTAGTAGCAGAACCTAAATGGTGTAAATCGATGTACCGTTGGATGTCAGCCTTTCCAGGGTAAAAACTGTGAAATCTATCTTCTTTCAATCAAAAATTTAAAAACAAAAGTATTTCTCCTTCTTTTATTTACATATGGATATCAGTGCGTATTTAGTTTTAAATTAGTATCTCAAAATTTGAATCAAGTTATCTGTATTTTGGCTTCATTTTTGAAATAATGCTTTTTTATTTTTATTTATTTATCTCATCGGTCTATATTGAACACTCCTATACTATTCTATACGTATAAACTGTAAATAACATACATGATGACGGCGAATACGCACTCATAATGGATCTCACGTGCAAAGTGAATTTCAGAGATGAGCGACAATAACAGAGCAGTTGCGAGCTACAATCAGACGGTAGAAGAAGAATATGCTTTAATACTTCCTCATGCGCGGTTATGCCAATAAAAGTATCTTTCTAATACATGGCCGCAAATGAAACTTATAAATTCTTAAAAAAGCGTAAGTATTTAAAGAAGTCGCATTTAATCGTAAACAAAGTTCGACATTTCAATTTCAACTTCAATCTTCACCCTTGAATATTCAACTTTATTGGAATATTTCTTGCGGAAAGTGTAAATGAAAATCATGATAAACAAATGTAAATATGTTCGTGTAACATTTTTAATAGAATGCAAATTATTGTGAGAAGATCTTTTCCTTCCACATACCTTTATACAAATGATTGATAGAATCATACGAATAATACTTTCCTTGGTATATTATCAGGAGTTCTATCCTTATGTACATCGATCATGGTTTGAATCGTATAAAACTAGAATGTGAACATGATGAATTTCCTGTGTCAGTTGTATCAACATATAAACAAACAACTAGAATATCGGTTGACCCTATATAAACAAGTTCAACAAATACGTACGTAGTGTGGAAAGTATGTATATATACATGTATTGATTATAAAGATGTTCCTGTTCACATTTGCTTTTTCATTTGTCTATCAATATATTCATACTATGTTCTATGATGATTATCAGTTGTAAAATATATTTAAACTGCTTTTAATTGACCTCGAATAAATAGATTCAAGAGAATCATACTTTAAATACATATCAGTTTATGTCATTGGAACGATATTTATGAGAACATTTCATATCAAGTATATATCTTGCTCGAGTTGCTAATAAGAGTTGTAAAAGAAAATATGATCTGATAGACAATTGGAAATAAAATTTATCTGAAAAATTGTCTTTACTGAAACAAAGCATGCCGTTTGTGGGAAGAAAAAGTTGTATAAGAGAAATGAATAAAACAAAAACCATACATTAGAAAACAACTCTGAAGTAAATTACACTTTCATCATTTGATTTGACAGTAAAATCAGAACGATACTTATTAAATAATACTACAAATTTGAACTATCCTATATAAATAAAAAACAAGCGCCCTCTAGTGAATACTCATGTTGACTGGTTCTGAGTTTGTCCCTATGGTTTTGCTATTTATTCTATCAGATATGTATGTATGTCTAGTTTTATTTACCTAGTAGTTCGAGCTATGAGTTCTATCGAAATTTATTAAGATTATTCAATAGAATTAATTAGCTTGACATGAAATTTTCAAAATTTAACTATTTTGTTAGATGATGGTGTTGAAATTCTAATGATTCTTTTCATAGTAAATTAACATAGATTTATTTTTCAATGGAAATAGTTTCTATTTGTCATATATTCTTTTCACATCGACTGCACTCTACTTTGTTCAATATTTCATGACGACAAAAAAAAAGATGTTTTATGTTTCAGAAAATGATTCGTATTAAAAACAATGATGATCATCATGCATCTATTTCAACATTTACTATTTTAACATACAATTGTCTTGCTTCAAATCTTGCTGAACCAAAATATTTTCCACAAACTGATCCAACACATCTTGATTTTTCTTATCGATCGAAATTATTTGAACATGAATTACAATTATTCAATGCTGATATTGTATGTTTACAAGAAATTCATCAAGACAATTTTCATCAATGGCTTAGTCCATTTCTTTTTCAATTGGGATATGACGAAGGTACTTTTGCTAAACGTGGTGGTATCAAAGCTAAAGATGGTGTTGTAATATTTTTCAAACGAGATAAATTTAAATTGATAACTCAACATCGACTAGATTATTTCGATAGTGCACAAATTCAATTTCCAACAGAAGCATCATTAGCTACATACAATGTTGCTCTCTTTTGTCTTCTTCAAATTCAAAATAATAAGGTAAAAGCAAACAGTATTTGAAAAGTAACAATGTGTCTTTTAAAATTATCAACAGAGTTGAATGTTAATTTTTTTATGATAAAATATTTTCTTTTTTTTTGAATAAACATAATTGTTTTTAGACAAATGTATCCAATGAAGAAGAACAACAAATTTGGATATGTAATACACATTTAAATTGGAATCATACTTTACCTGCTACACAATTCTTTCAAATTCGTACTCTTATTAATGAACTTACTCGATTAAATAAAGAAACTTGTAATAAACCATTTGTGATTGTTGGTGATTTTAATAGTACACATGATTCAGTTGTTCATGATTATATTAGAAATGGATTTCTTACAGATACAGTTGATTATTATTCAAAATTATATCAAATCTATTTGCCATTGTTCGATGGTGATTCAACTAAAACTAGAAAATATCTTACTGGATCTCATATGTACAAAAATGTTATGGAGAGTGCTTATAATAAAAATACATTTTTAATGCCATTCACCAGACGAGTTACTGATAATTTTTGTGGAACTATTGATTATATTTATTATCAACGTGATCGTATGTGTTCTCGACAATTATTAAATGTATTGCAGAATGATGGTGAACGAGCAATGCATGACGATTTTACTTTACCAAATAGTCAACATCCGAGTGATCATTTACCATTAATGGCTGAACTTGATTTACTTCCATTGTCTACTGAAAATGACAATACAAATAAATAATTTAAAAAAATAATAAGTAAGTTGTTCTGAAAATCAAATTCTACTATAGATAAAATATATTTGCTAAACTTGTTTGTTAAGAAAAAGTTTAAAACAATCACTTCATGTAATTTATGTCTATATATCTTTTAAAAATAAGCATAAATTTGAGATAAAAATTGCTCAGAATAATGAGAGAATTTCATAACAGTTTGAAAAATGTTCAACAAATTTATTTATTATTTCTGTTTTCTATTTTAGTTATTTTTATACAAGTGAATAGATATTAATTCAAAATTCGTATGTTTAACTCACAGAATTTAGATTATTCGACAATTTATTATCGAAAAATATTTCTGACGTCGTTTTGTTCAAAATATTCATTATTCATAATCAAAATAATTTAGGTTTTTATTGTCTTATTTTATAAACGATCTTTTTTTGTAACAATATTAATTAAAAGAAATTTGATTTGAAAGATATGAGACTTGCGTCTAAATGTCAAAGTATTATTAGCATGTATCGACAAGATATTAGAATTTTCCTAAACTCTGCATGTCAATGCAAAAGTGTCATAGTTAAGAATATTACTACCAAAGCGAGTAGTATTCATGCTCACACGTACGTGCTTAACAGCTCTCTGTTGATGATTATATCCTTCAATTTTGATTACACTTCTAATGTAAGTAAATAGTCATATGATGAAAAGTTCGTCTTATAAAGTAAAGTCTGTATGATCGAGTTTTACCTTTCAAGTATGCTTAGAACATGTACTCCGTTTTTGATCATTCTAAAATTGTTTTACATACAAACGCGTGGATTTTCTACAAAAGCATTCTTATGTTCTCGTATGCAGTGACAATATTAAGCATGTATCTGCTCAAAATTTCATGGATTTAAAATGCAAATATAGTTTACTTTGTGATGCGTTCCTACACATACACATTTTTATAAGCTTTCGCATCAGAGATGTGCGAGGCATTGATTTTCCATCCCCCGCGGGGCCCGCCCCGTAAAATTCACAAACCCGTCCCGTCCGAACCCCGTGGATATTCTTTTTGAGAATCCCCGCCCCTTCTGTGCCCCGGCAAATCTATACCCGCTCCGCCCGTACCCCGCACAGGCAGCTTCTTGGACCAGCCCGCCCGACCCGCCATTTTTGTGACGGGCCTCGACCCGTCCCCGTGTAACCCAAAGAAAGTTTTTATTTACCAAATACTTTATTTTTAATGATGCATTCCTTTTATGAATAATCATTTTTTACAAAAACAAAACTCAAGTCTATATGAGATGGTTTTGAATGATTCACTTTGTGATTGCCGACAAGCACGTATTTTTGTGGTTGTTCTTTTAAAAACATTTTTATATTTGACGAATTACATTTCATATTACTCGATGAGCAATGACTGAGAGATGAAGAAATAATTGTAGACGAATGATCAGTATTCGACGAAGCTGTCCTATCAAGTGATTCATCAGGAGATAAATCATGTAATTCGATGATACTTAGGTCTGACCAAAAGTTCTGGCAACATTATATAAAAATATAAAGATAAGTAGGCAGCTTTAATTTTATTTTACCAAATATTGAGGACAGTTGCCATGATTATTTATACCAAGTTCGATCCTTTCCAACAATTTGTTAAAAGTTTTTTTCGAAAAAATTTTTAAATATCGCACGAGCTTATCATGTTTCATTTATTTAATTAGTTAAACTACATTTAATAGAATTAGTTAGCGAAAAGTTACATAGTATCAGGCCTGGCGAATATGATAGATATGATATTATTTTGATGCCTTCTTCGGTCATGCAATTAATAACATTAGATGAATATGAAGTCAACGATGACCGTCAAACAATTTTGTACATTTTGAACCTGATGTCTCTGTTTGTTTCCATATTTCATTAATAAAAGGCTTTGGAGAATTTTCAGCATAATACTTGTGACTTACAGTCTTGCCTTTATCTACATTCAGGAGTATTTGATTTAAAGAATATACCAAACAAAGCATTTTCTAAAATCTTTATTCATGAACAATAGTCTTTGACGATTCATCTTCAATAAGCCAGCCAGCATCGGATAACTTATGACTAACCTATCTAAAATAAATCTATATCTCATCACTAGCAGTACTAGAATGCAACTGATATGATCGAACAAGATTTTGCTAACTTTTCACAATAAATGAAATATGATTAGCTCATGCGGTATCCATGATACCTAAAATTTTTTCGAAAAAACTTAAAAAACTTTTAACTAATCGTTGGAAAGGATCAAACTTGGTATAAATAATCATGGCAACTGTCCTCAAAATTTGATAAAATAAAATTAAAGATACCTCCTTATCTTTATATTTTTATATAATGTTGTCAGAACTTTTGGTCAGACCTAAGTAGTAATTCACAAAAAAATTCAAACGATAATTCTAAATATAAAATAAGTTTTAGTCCACTTATTCACTTAATATAAATTGATAGTAGAAGTTGCGTATGACAGACGATAAAGAAAGAAACAAACAAATGGTAGACAATCTTGTACAAATAGGATGAAAGTAATGAACCAATCAATATGTACTTTGTACTACATACCTATACTAAGGACATCCCGTGATAAGTTTTGACGATCTTTCATCACATCCGAAAAAAAGTGTTTACCCGCCCGAACCCGTGTATTTCATACTCGCTTCGCCCGAGACCCGTGTCATTTAAAAAAATGATTCCCCGCCCCGCCTGCCCGTGTGCTGGAAAATACCCGTGCCCCGTTAATCCCGCATTTAATTAAATTTTTCTTCCCCGCCCGCCCGTCGCCACGTGGCCCGCGGGGTGAACCCCGTGGACCGCACATCTCTGATTGGTACCTCTATAGGATAGGCCATGAGGATTTATGGGTACTCCATAGGATAGGGAATGAGGACTTACGGGTACCACTATAGGATAAGGCATGAGGACTTATCGATTTCTCTATAGGGTATGCCATGCGGCCTGATGGGTACTCCCATACGATAGCCCTTACGACCTATTAACGTAGTCCTAGGGTAAGCCTTCAGGGGCTTCAGGTACATCCCCCTGTGTACCTGTAGGAAACTATGAGATAGCTCACATGAAAAGAAGTAGTGATACTAGGTTGAAATTAATCTAATATCAAACAAAATAATGAGGAAAACGCTAAAAACTCAAAACAGCCCGAAAAATCGGTATATCCAAGAAACCGAAAATCCAAAAAATCTGAAAGAATCCGAAAATCCGCTTTTTCCCCCTTGATCAGATTTTTTTAAGCTGGAAATTCAGCGAATCACGTTCTTTTAGGTCAGAAAGTTGTTGTATGTGTGACGAGTGCAAGGTCAAAAATCAAAGGTTAACGTTTCACCAAAGGTTTTTGGGATCCAGGACCTGATTGGCTGAAGTTCTAGCTCGAGAATTCTAATTGGCTAAATTCCTCACTCCAAAAATCACCTGATTCACTGAAGGTCTCACCCCAAAAATCATCTGATTGGCTGGACTCTCCACTCTCAAATCACCTGATTGGCTGAACTCTCCACAGCAAAATCATCTGTGCCACAACGTATAATGACATGTTGTTTTAGTGTATATTTTGGTCAATTGGGCAGAAACATAGAATCGAACTTACTACTTCTGTACTTCTTTTAGTTCGTACTTCACAAAAACCTGAGTGCTCATGTTGAAAACAGTCAGTTTGCTGTTATCAGGTCAACAAGCTTTCTAGCGGGTAGCCTCGTTTTAAAAGTTCTTTGATCAAGGCATTATAGAATAGAAAAAAATAACTGCCCTGTTGCACCCTAATCCAAAACCTATATGAAACACACTAAATTTCAGTGGCTATAACTCATAGAACTTTCCGGCTCACATACGGTAAAATTTAGATTCCAAACATTATCATAATAAATAAAATCGATCACAGATTCAAAGATTGATGGAATCCTATAGAAATCCGATCGGAATTCGACCGTCGGAATAAATGGGGATTTCAACAATCGGAAATTATCGGAAACGTATGAGTATCCGATTGTCGGATCCAATCGGATCCGTCATCGGATTTTTGGACCTGGGAACAGTCAAGTAAGTAGGAAAAACAGGTACTCTGAGAATAGGGCTCTTCGAAATTCAAGATTCGTTGTGCTAGCAATACAATAATTCTTAGTGATGACAATTTTTTGACGGTTTTTCATTTTTATGGTCATCATCATCATTTTCATCCATCCTAGTTTGAAATTGATGTAATAACTTAGATAATTGAAGGATTTAATCCATAATAGTTTATGTTCCTTACAAACTCTATCAAATTTTGTACCACCTATCACTCATTCACTCCGCGTGGCCATGTAGTTGATACGTTTGACTGGTAAGACAGTGGTAGATTTCGATCAGAGGTGCCGAGAGTGACCGTTCTTCATTTCGAAAATATTTTCAATTCCACTACACAGAAAAAATCTAAACATGATCTTTTAATATCTCTAACAAACTTCAAAATACGTTTCTCGACAGTCATTGCTTCCATTTTCGTAGAAGAGCCTTAATTTATCAAAATCGTAGATACACTGTTGCTCGAACGGACTTGATGGGATCAGCCTTTGATGTTGATTATATAGGCAAATCATCTGTTGCATAAATAACTCATTCTGATGATCAAGCTCAAAAGTCTTGTATAAAAAAAAATCACTAATGATGAGTTTCCAAGTTTTATTCATTTTCAAATAAACTACTCGTTACATGGTGAGTTGCTTTAAAATTTTATCATATCTAAAGATAGCTTGTCAATGATGAATCTATAATTTGTCTATTTTGTTAGAGAAATATTTTTCGATACTTTCTTTTAATGTTACAAACTTTTCTCATCATAATTTATTTCAATACTATAGCGACATTTATCAAACAGAAAATATATAATTTAACGACAAAATACTCATTACGATGATATTCTCCTGTTCGACGTGTTAGTACATTTTCACATATTATTTTTAAATCTGAGTGAATCATAAAATAACAAATCACCAAGATAAATGAAGCAAAATTCAATCTCCACAGTATCTCTTTCTATTACCAACATTAGAATGTTAGAGATTATAATCAATGTTATCTCTGAAAATTTAATATATAAATGGAAAAACTGTTAGAGGAAACTCTGCTGGATGAAAATATTAAACACAATGTGCCTGCTGTTGTTAATCATAGAGAGATTGTTTTATTCTATCTATTTTGGGAAATATTTCTTCTACATTCTTTTACTTAATCTTCCAGAAATGCAGCAGGTCAGTAGTAGTTCATATATTCTAACAAACTGTTATTGATAAATCATTTCTGATCGTATACCAACGATGTCTGTCACAGTCGTGAATATAAGGGGTTCACATTTCTATCCCTCTACTTTAAGATTTCTTTTAGATCGTACTTCTCAAAATAAATTTCCATGATCGATATTTATCAGTTTATGACTCATTGTTAGATTTTTTCTTATAGAAAATAAAATCCTTAGAAAGAAATCATCAGTACTTAAAGACGAACAAGAATTTTTACCAATATGTATCTTTTACTTAAAAAGTCATTAAACTATATGTCGAAGATACTATCAAAGATCAATGAATTAAGGAAAAACAAAACAGTTTACTATACCTCATTCATTTAAACAAACCTTAAACATTCATATGAGATTCATATTAAATTATTATAAAGTTCGAGTTAAATGAAAATGAATTTTCATTAATGATACAATGAAAAGTATGTCTCTATATTCATGGTTTGTTTTCCATAAAAGATTATTTTCTTAGCTGTAACTTTTTTTTTTCTTATTTCTAATCTATTCATTGATTGTTATTTTGTTGCTTTATCTAATTGTATAACAATATCAAAAAAAAAAAAAAAAAACGGATTCTAATTAATTTTGTGTTTGACGTAATTGAGCAATTTGCATTTTAAGTTCATCAATTTCTTGTTGTAAACAATCAGCTTCAATCGTTTGTGGAATTTTTGAACGAAGTATAGCTTTAAATTGTTCAAGTGGTGATAAATATGATACAGAATATGATACATTAAGTTGTGCAACACAATCTGTTAATGCATCAATTGAACCTGACATTTCCAAATAGACTTGAAAAGCTTGTAAACGATTAAATAATTCTGTTGATAATGATAATGAAGGTGATGATGATGATGAACCTGATACAGAGTCAATTATTGGTGAATTCGGCGGTATTGTTGTCATGATTATTTGATATAGAAATATAATTCAAATGATCTATTTGCTTTTCTTTACGTTCTTTGTTATGAATAAATGTATGAATCAGTCAGTAAACAAATTTTCCCCCTCTCTCTGCTTCTGTTCCCTCGCTTACTCAATGACGAACAGGCTTCATACGAACACGAAAAAAAAGAAAATCTCTAATTTCGTTTTTCTTTTCTTTTTTTTTAAACCTTTAACGCAGAAAGTTATTATGTAGCTAATTTATAATACAAGAGCGCGCCCTCTATTGCTCCAACACGAATCTTTTATTGCGTCCAGAATTTATTCCTTGATATTAATTTACTGATTGACACATTACATCAATGAATGTAAATTGCATGATTGATTAGAAAAAACAACCAAGGCAAATTGATTGTTATCGTGTCAATCATTTGTACTTATTTTAGATGATATATAATATATATTCTTGGTTATTTTTCATTTTAAATATTCTTCATGTATTATCAAAATCAAATATAACAACAACACCTTTTGCTTCTTTACAATCTTCAAATGATAAACCTTTCATAACACAATTTCTTGTTTTTTCATCTAATTCAGAAGAACTTATTGGGTTTCAACCAAAACATGGTTGGATTCTTAGTTTAGACAAGAAATTTCGTCTTTATATAAGTGGTTTTAATCTTCAAAATCATTCAATTGTATTTTCAGCTTTACAAGATGAATGTACATCAAGTGATTTTATATCACCTATTTATCATTTAACATCAGCATCAATTATTGAACTTGATGTTCATCTTAAAAATTTATCAAAAGCTCATTCATCTATATTTCTTTGTCTTTTACCAACAATAGAAACAAAATTAAATGATACTCTATTACAAAATGGAACACAATTAAAAGGACCATATTTTACATTTCTATTCGAAAAAGCTACAATACCATTTGCAGCAAAAATATGTTTAATTCTTATGTTATTTGTTTTTTCAGGTTTTTTTAGGTAAAAAAAAAATTTATTATTATTATTATTATTATTATTATTCTTTTTTCAAATTAAATTTAGTGGTTTAAATTTGGGTTTAATGTCATTAAGTGTTAATGATTTACATTTACTTGCTGAATCAGATGATCCTTCAATGCGTTATTATGCTAAACGTGTTTTACCATTAAGAAAACGTGGCAATTTTTTATTATGTTCAATTGTTTTAGCTAATGTTTTAAGTAATTCATTAGGAACAGTTTTACTTGATTCACTCGTTCATGGCTTGTTTGCTGTTATGGGTTCAACAATAATGATTGTACTTCTGGGTGAAATTATTCCACAAGCTATATGCTCTCGTTATGGATTAGTTATTGGTGCACATACACATGTTATAACATGGGCTTCGATGATTGTAACAGGAATTATATCATATCCATTAGGTTTTATTCTTAATAAAATTCTTGGTCAAGAAGTAACAGCTTCTTATACACGTGATCAAATAGCTCGAATGCTTACAAAAATTAATGCTGATATTGAAAAACCTGAACTTGATGTTATTACAGGTAAGACGAAAGAAGAAATCGTTGCTATTTATAAAATAAATATTTACTTAAGTTTGAATTTAATCATTGAAAGTATTGGTTAAATATTTTATAAAATTGCAATTATTTCAAAATCTATCGGTTTAGTTTTATGTGTCACAATTCTTCTATCTAATTCTTTATTGAAGATCTCGAGCTTTTAACATAAAGAAATGAATTCAATTAAGAATTGTAAAATAAATGAAAAAAAATCGATTGAATTTTTTCAAAATCAAAACTCCTACAGAGTTTATAAAGTTTTTGCAAATGACAAAATTTATAAAAATTGAAAAGTATTTATATGATTTTTCCATTTTTTTAAGGTGTACTTTCAATACGTAAAAAAACTACAAGCGAAGTAATGACTTTATTATCTGATGTCTATATGCTTGATAAAGATCGTAAAACCGATACTGAATTAATACTTGATTTACATAAACATGGTTTTTCACGTATTCCTGTTTATTCGAAAGAAAGGTTTTATATGTTATTTTTGTCTAATTAAATATTCTACATATGTATATCTTCTCTAGATCAAATGTTATTGGTATTGTTAAATTAAGAGATTTTGCTTTAATTACACCAGAACAATATCATTTAACAGTAAAACATGTTCTTGAATTTCATAGTCGTATGTAAAATTTTATTTATTAATATTTATTTTTATTTTTTAAATGATAAATAGATCCATATGGTCATGCAAAAGCAACTGATTCATTATATAATTTATTGCAAGAATTTCTTAGAGGTAGAAAAAACAAAAAGTTAACTTTTAATAAAAAAAAATAAGTTATAATTTTATTATTGTTTTTAATTTAAGCACATTGGCATATTGCTCTTGTACAAGAAGTTCGTACTGAAGAAGATCATACTGATCCAGCCTATACAACAGTTGGTATAATTACACTTGAAGATGTTTTTGAAGAAATTTTACAAAGAGAAATTATAGAAGAAGCAGATATGTTCAGTAAATTCATTTTTATTTTTAAGAAAAAAAAAAGAATTTAAATAATAATCTTTGATGTATTTTATTTTAGCTGATAATCGCCGTAAAATTCGACGTAAACGTGCTAAAACAATGGATTATACAGAATTAGCTAAACGACCTGTTAAAGGTTGATTAGAATTTCTTTTATATTCTATCATTTAAATTCTTCAAATTTCAGGTCCTTCAATATCTCCACAATTAAAAATAGCTGTTTTTCAATTTTTAAGTACAAGTAAGTTCATCGAATAATTCTATTGCTTTTATTGACTAATTATAATATTACTCATTCATATACTAATGCTAACAGCGTGTTCTATTCTAATTATAGTTCATACATATATTTTTTAACGATGCGTAAGCTGAATGTATGATTGGTAGCTTTAGATTTTTTAAATGTTTTGCTTGATATCTTTGAAGTGACTTTTATTTGACAAAAAAGAAAAGAAAAGAATCTATATTGTATTTACTTAGATATACAACAATTTACATCAGGTTTTATTTCTCAAGAGATATTAAAAATTCTTCTTAATTATAATGTTTATGCAATGATTAAAAAACAAGCAAATCAATCAACAAATTCTATATATTTATATAAAAAAGATTTTCGTTATGAATTATTTACATTGATTATTCAAGGAAATGCAACATTAGAATCTGGTGTTGAACATATAATGTCAACTGTTGGTTCATTTAGTTTTTTTGCAACATCAGCACTTCTTGGTAAAAAAAACAAACAAATAAGATTTCAAAAAAAAAATAAAAATAAAAATTTGATTTATTTTTAAGCGGAAAATAAAACTGTAAAAGATGTTCATCGATTTCTTGATCATATTTGTACAGCAAATAAACACTTAAATAATATAACAAGTTTACTTGATGAAATTTCTTCAATATTTATTGCGGATTATAATTTAATTGTTAATAGTGAATTACATGTTTTACAAATTCATCGTCTTGTTTGGTTAGCAGCTGTTCGAGCAACACAACGACAACGTAGCAATGATCCACATCAAAAACGTATGCAACCTGAACATTTATTATCAAATGCACTCGATGAAATAGTAAATGACAAGAAAAAAAGAAAAAATTATTTATTTAAAAGCTTTTTTTTTGTTTTTAAGTCATCAGTAACAAATGTCCGAATTGATAAAAATAATTTAACAAATTTTCAACGTATATTTCATAATGAAAAAGATATTATACATCATGTAACACAAACAAAAAATGAAAATACAAATATTAATAATCAATCATCACCATTTGTTTTTGAAAATATTCATTCATTAGATAGAGATAAACATGATAATTTAAATAAACAACAAGAAACAAATATTCATGAAAATGATTCATTAGAACAACAACAACAATCATCAACAGCTATTGTTTGTAATCCACTTCTAGTTAATGTACATAGTAATGCATCAAATAAGAAAATTCGTTCTAATAGACAAAATTGTAACAATTCAAATCGTTCATCTAGTTCAAATGAAGGAATTGCTAATTCATTTATGGATATGAATCAAATGTTTGGTGATACAAATGAAAATGTAAATACATACATATATTTTTTTAGTTTTGCTTGTATTTTCTCTTAAAATGAGATCCTAGAGAAAATAATACAACAGAAGAAGAAATTTTCTTTAAAAAAAACTAGTGTCCATTTCAAAATATAATGTCCTCTACTGTTTTTTGAATAACTCGAGAACACAAGCAACTAGAGACTTGCAATAGGAGATCGAAGGATGTCTTTTTCTACAATAATGTATAAGAAGAATTAATTATTTTCGAAAAATATGTAAAAGAAGGCATGAAAATGACCTGCCATCTAGATGAAATTTTGATTTAGATAGAGGGATTTCAAATCTATAGTTCAAGATATAATGTGTTTCCTCACTTTTCACTACATTTCCATCGAAATGTCAAGCTATTATGATAAAAAGTGAGAAAACTTAATAAAAACATTAGCAATAATCCATTATTATTTGCCCATGTAAACACATGATTCACTTTGCTCAACGTTAGAGTGTAATAAGAGAACCAATTTGCATTGTATCTTGAACTATAGATTTGAAGTCCATCTATCTAAATCAAAATTACATCTAGATGGTAGGTCATTTTCATGCCTTCTTTTACATGTTTTTCGAAAATAATTAGTTCTGCTTATACATTATTGGAGAAAAGGATGTCCCTCGATCTTCTCTTTCGAAATGGTGAAAACTGTAGGTCTCTTGCTGCTTATGTTCTCGACTTATTCAAAAAACAGTGGAGGACATTATATTTTGAAATGGACAATAGTAATACAAGAATTTAGTTTTGTTAGAAAGATTAAAACTATTTTTGACAACCGATACTATTCAAAGAAATTCGAATTAATTTGTATTGAATGAATTTTTGGAAAGTATTTATATGTCTGTGATTCAAGGTCTTCTCCTCTCGAAAATCGATCTCAACCCGAGAACATTCAAATGAT